AATTATTTGAAGGTTTTGTGGCCAAAACTCCCTAAATATTTCAAAGGACACTAATTTACTAATTTAACTCTGTGAGCCCCAATAGGATAACCACAAAAAGATCCACATCATCAAACTGCTGAGAACCAATTGAAAGGGACAGTTTCGCCGGGCGCGGTGGCTCAAGCCTGTAATCCCAGCACTTTGGGAGGCCGAGGCGGGTGGATCACGAGCTCAAGAGATCGAGACCATCCTGGTCAACATGGTGAAACCCCGTCTCTACTAAAACTACAAAAAATTAGCTGGGCATGGTGGCGCGTGCCTGTAATCCCAGCTACTCAGGAGGCTGAGGCAGGAGAATTGCCTGAACCCAGGAGGCGGAGGTTGCGGTGAGCCGAGATCGCGCCATTGCACTCCAGCCTGGGTAACAAGAGCGAGACTCCGTCTCAAAAAAAAAAAAAAAAAAAAAAAAAAAGAAAGGGACAGTTTCCAAAACAGAAAAGCAACTAATCACGCACAGGAGAATGGCAGTATGATTAATGGTTGACTATTCTGGCCAGGCAAAGTGGCTCAGCACAAAGGTGGAGCAAGGGAAAGGGTAATAAAGTTACTGCATTCTACCAGAATTTTCAGTATTGAGCTGAAATACATTGTAATAAGTTAAAGCTACATATTGCAATCCCTAGACAACAACACAGGAAGTAACTCCAACAATAAGTAAAAGGAAAAAAAAAAAACCTTCAACTTTCGGATTAGAATAATACATACACACACAACTGTAACAGAAAGGAGTTAAAGAAGCCAGGCATGGTGGCTTACGTCTGTAATTCCAGCATTTTGGGAGGTTAAGGCAGGCAGATCACCTGAGTTCAGGAGTTCAAGACCAGCCTGGCCAACATGGTGAAACCCCGTCTCTACTGAAAATACAAAAATTAGCCAGTCATGGTGGCACACCTGTAATCCCAGCTACTCGGGAGGCTGACAGGAGAATTGCTTGAACCCAGGAGGCGGAGGTTGCAGTGAACCGAGATCATGCCACTGCACTCCAGCCTGGGCAACAGAGCGAGACTCAGTCTCAAAAAAAAAAAAAAAAAAAAAGGAAACAAAGGAACAAAAAAGATATGAGACATCAACAATTACATTAAACATAAATGGATTAAATACTCCAAAGGGCACAGACTGTCAAACTATATAAAAAGCAAGATTCAACTATATGCTATCTACAAGAGATCCTTTAGTTTCAAAGACACAAATAGAGTGAAAGTAAAAAGATATACCAGGCAAACAATAATCACAAGAGAGCAGGAATAGCTATATGAATATCAGTCAATACTGCCTTTTTTTCCCAAGTTCTTCCTGCATACACTTAACTCAGCACAGACTTTAAGAAAATATTATTAGAAACATAAAGGAGGCTGGGCGTGGTGGTTCATGCCTGTAATCCCAGCACTTTTCCGAGACAGGCGGATCACCTGAGGTCAGGAGTTTGAGACCAGCCTGGCCAACATGGTGAAACCCTGTCTCTACTAAAAATACAAAAAAATTAGCCAGACGTGGTGGCACATGCCTATAATCCCAGCACTTGGGAAACTGAGGCTGGAGAGTTTCTTGAACCTGAGAGGCGGAGGTTGCAGTGAGCTGAGAATGTGCCATTGCACTCCACCCTAGGTGGCTGAGACTCCGTCTCAAAAAAAAAAAAAAGAAAAGAAACGTAAAGGAACATTTTATGATGATAATGGCTACATCAATTTATCTTGAAGATATAGCCATTATAAATATATACACTAATAATATTAGAGTATTAGAATCTCAAAAACATAGAATTGAAAGGAAGAATAGACAATTGAAAATTCCTGATAGGCTGGGCACAGTGGCTCACAGCCTTAGTAATCCCAATACTTTGGGAAGCCACGATGGGAGGATTACTTGAGCCCAGGAGTTTGAGACCAGCTTGGGCAATATGGTAAGGCCCCATCTCTAAAAAAAAAAAAATTAAAAAAATTGCAAGCCGGGCGCAGTGGCTCACGCCTGTAATCCTAGCACTTTGGGAGGCTGAGGTGGGTGAATCACCTGAGGTCAGGAGTTCAAAACCAGCCTGGCCAACATGGTGAAATCCCATCTTAAAAAAAAAAAAAAAAAAAATTGCAAAGCATGGTGGTGCACATCTGTAGTTCCACCAGCTACTCGGGAGGCTGAAGTGAGAGGATCGCTTAACCCAGGAGTTTGAGGCTGCAGTAAGCCAGCCATGTTCACACCACCGCACTCCAGGCTGGACAACAGTGAGACCCTGCCTCAAAAGCAAAACAAAATGACAAAAACTCTAAACATATTAGGAATAGACAAGAAAAAAATAGGGCCAGGCACAGTGGCTCACATCTGTAATCCCAGCACTTCGGAAGGCCAAGACGGGTGGGTTACTTGAGGTCAGGAGTTTGAGACCAGCCTGGCCAACATGGTGAAACCCCATCTCTACTAAAAATACAAAAAGCCAGGTGTGGTGGCACATGCCTATAGTTCCAGCTACACAGGAGGCTGAGGCAGGAGAATCGCTTAAACCTGGGAGGTTGCAGTGAGCCAAGATTGTGCCACTGTAATCCAGCCTGGGCAACAGGGTAAGATTTTGTCTTCAAAAAAAAAGAGAAATTCCCTAACATCATATTTAATGGTGAAAAACTGAATGCTTTCCTCTACAATCAGAAACAAGGCAAGTATGTTTCTTCTCACCATATCAACATTGTACTGAAGATTGTAGCCAGTACAATAGACAAGGAAAATAAAAGACATAGGGATTGAAAGGAAAAAAAAACTATACACAGATGATATGATTGCAGATGACAGGGTCTCAGGATACAAGGTCAATAGACGAAAATTACATTTGTGTGTTCCAATAATGAACAATCTGAAAACGAAATTAAGAAAGTGCCATTCTCGCCAGGTGCAGTGGCTCATGCCTGTAATCCCAGCTACTTGGGAGGCTGAGGCAGGAAAATCACTTGAACTTGGGAGGCGGAGGTTGCAGTGAGCTGAGATTGTGCCACTGCACTCCAGCCAGGGTGACACAGTGAGAGTCTGTCTCAAAAACAAACAAAACGATATTGAGGCTGGGTCCGGTGGCTCACGCCTGTAATCCCAGCACTTTGGGAGGCTGAGGCAGGCAGATCACCTGAGGTCATGAGTTCGAGACCAGCCTGGCCAACATAGTAAAATGCCATCTCTACTAAAAAAAAAAAAAATTCAAAAATTCAAAATTAGGCCAGGCGCGGTGGCTCACGCCTATAATCCCAGCACTTTGGGAGGCCGAGGCGGGTGGATCACGAGGTCAAGAGATCGAGACCATCCTGGTCAACAAGGTGAAACCTCGTCTCTACTAAAACTACAAAAATTAGCTGGGCATGATGGTGCGTGCCTGTAGTCCCAGCTAGTCGGGAGGCTGAGGCAGGAGAATTGCTTGAACCCAGGAGGCGGAGGTTGCAGTGAGCCGAGATCATGCCATTGCACTCCAGTCTGGGCAACAACAGCAAAACTCCGTCTCAAAAAAAAAAAAAATTCAAAACTTAGCTGGATGTGGTGGCACGTGCCTATAATCCCAGCTACTCAGGAGGCTGAGGCAGGAGAATTGCTTGAACTTGGGAGGCAGATGTTGCAGTGAGCCGAGAAGTGCCACTGTAATATTGAGTCTTGCAAATCCATTAACATGTTATAATGTCTTATTTAGATCTGTAATTAATGTTTTGTGGTTTTGCATGTATAGGCTTTGTACTTCTTTTATGGATTTCAATATTTTATTCCAAATATTTTATTCTTTTGATGTTACTGTAAATGATACTTTTTTTTTTTTTTTTGGACAAGAAGTAAATTTATTGGTTCATATTATGAGGGGGCAGCACAGTGGAAGCCCTCATGAGTGCAGGGCCCACCACTTATCCAGGGGGCCACGATTGGGGATGTACTTAACCCCACAGCCATCTGGGATGAGCCGCTTCTCAGCCACCGTGTCTTCAAATTCATCGGCATTGAACTTGGTGAAGCCCCACTTCTTTGAGATGTGGATCTTCTGGCGGCCAGGGAACTTGAACTTGGCCCTGTGCAGGGCCTCAATCACATGCTCCTTGTTCTGCAGCTTGGTGCGGATGGACATGATCACTTGGCCAATGTGAACTCTGGCCGCAGTGCCCTGGGGCTTTCCAAAGGCACCTCACATCCGTGTTTGGAGCCTGTCAGCCCCAGCACAGGACATCTTGTTGATGTGGATGACGGGGAAGGGGTGGAGCCGCACTCAGATATGAAAGCCATCTTTGCCACAGCTTTTCACCATGTACTTATTGGCACAAATTCGGGCAGCCTCCAGGGCTTCAGAGGAGAGCTGCTCATATTCATCTGATACCATGTGGCCACAGAGTGGAAACTCATCCACTTTTGCCTTCTTCCGCCCCAGGTCAAAGATGCGAATCTTGGCATTAGGGACACCTCGGCAGAAGCAAGAGTTTGGGTACCGCTTGTTCTTACAAGATCAGTAACAACGGGCGGGGCGGCGGCCCATAGCGGCACCAGGATCTTTAGTGGCGTGAGGAAGGAAAACAGCTACTTTTTTTTTTTTTTTGAGACGGAGTCTCGCCCCGTCGCCCAGGCTGGAGTGCAGTGGCGCCTCCCAGGTTCTAGCAAATCTCCTGCCTCAGCCTCCTGAAAAGCTGGAATTTTTAGTAGAGACGGAGTTTCACCAAGTTGGCCAGGCTGGTCTCAAACTCCTAGGCTCAAGCGATCTGCCTGCCTTAGCCTCCTACAGTGCTGGGATTACAGAACCTTTTTTTGTTTTGTTTTGTTTTGTTTTGTTTTGAGACAGGGTCTTGGCTCTGTCACTCAGGCTGGAGTGCAGTGGTCCATCATGGCTCATTGCAGCCTCAACATCCCAGCCTTAAGCAGTCTTCCCACCTAACCCTCTCCGGTAGCTGGGACTGCAGGCATGCACCACCACCACACCTGCCTAGTTTTATTTTTAATTTTTTGTTTGTTGTTTGTTTTTTTTTTTTTTTTGAATGCGAAGATGTAATACCAATGGGGACACAAGAATTTTTCTAAAAAAGATTATTGGAGAGGGATCATGAATACCTTGGTCTCAAGAACTCCAACTCCTCACACATCATCTTCAGTTAGGCTGGCTAATCAGTGAGGTGATACTTTCTTCTACCTCTGACAGCGTCTTCAGAATTTGGTTGACTTTGACCTCATCAAATTCCAAACACAGAAATTCAGATTCCTGTCCATATTTGCCTAATTCCAGCTCTATAATGGCAACAGGCTTGTGTATTTGAGCTGAGTGCCTTGACTGAGACTTGCCATCAGCTCTCCAGCTCAGGCCCTGAAGCCCGCTATTCCAGCGGCTCTGGTTCATGAGGCTCTCGTGGATTTTTGTCCTGTGGCTCTTCCAGAATTTAGAAATAACAGCAGCTTGGTCAGATGTGATCCCACTTTGCTTTTTGGTTCGAGCAGTCAAGTATGCCTCCAGCTGGGTGAAATCCATGTCTGCAGACGCAATAGATTTAAGAATCCCTCTCATCTTTGCCAGAAAGGGGCGGAACTCCTCGGGTGGCACCTCTGGATACAGGTGACTCTGCAGCAGCTCCTCTGTGATGCCAGGGTGCCTGTGGAAAGTCTCCTGGGCTATCACATTCAGCAGCCTGCTCAGGGGCTTGCTGCCCTCAAGCTCGCCCACTGCCATTTTATTTTTTGTTTTTTAATGTAGAGAAGGGGGTCTCACTATGTTGCCCAGGCTGGTCTCCAACTCCTGGGCTTAAGAGATCCTTTCGGCCGGGCGCGGTGGCTCACGCCTGTAATCCCAGCACTTTGGGAGGCCGAGGCAGGTGGATCACGAGGTCAAGAGATCGAGACCATCCTGGTTAACACGGTGAAACCCCATCTCTACTAAAACTACAAAAAATCGGCTGGGCATGGTGGCGCGTGCCTGTAGTCCCCGCTACTCAGGAGGCTGAGGCAGGAGAATTGCCTGAACCCAGGAGGCGGAGGTTGCGGTGAGCCGAGATGGCGCCATTGCACTCCAGCCTGGGCAACAAGAGCGAAACTCCGTCTCAAAAAAAAAAAAAAGAGATCCTTTCACCTCAGCCTCCCAAAATGCTGGGATTACAGGCATGAGCTGCCATGCCCAGCAGAAAGTTGTCATTGGAATAAATCTGGGGTTTAGTTAAAAGTTTTTTTTTCTTTTTTTTTTTTTTTAGTTAGTTAAAAGTTTTATATTGGCCGGGCGCAGTGGCTCACGCCTGTAATCCCAGCACTTTGGGAGGCCGAGGCGGGTGGATCACGAGGTCAAGAGATCGAGACCATCCTGGTCAACATGGTGAAACCCCGTCTCTACTAAAACTACAAAAAATTAGCTGGGCATGGTGGCGCGTGCCTGTAATCCCAGCTACTCAGGAGGCTGAGGCAGGAGAATTGCC